CTAAACCCTAAACCCTAAACCCTAAACCCTAGACCCTAGACCCTAAACCCTAAACCCTAAACCCTAAACCCAGGGCGGCTTCAAACAATCCTGTGTGTGCCCTAGCTTTAGGCGTGCTCGAAGACAAGGCAAGTAGGGTGTAAGTCTAAGCACGCTTAGGGCATTCTGTGGTTTCAAGGGTTCAGGCTCAGGAGAGTTTAGGGGGTGCTAAACCCTAAACCCTAAACCCTAAACCCTAAACCATTTAGTGCTTGAGTTCGGGAATCTTGGTAGCCCATTAAGCATATCATAATACGGGTACCCTTTTTTGGGGTTAGGGTTACTTTACAAGGGAACCTTGAGCCAAAAAAAAAAAACGAAGAGGGGAACACTGGGCTACCAAGCCTACTTCTGAGGGCTGCGCAACAAACTAAGCCGACAAACGAAAAAATGCGGCAAAGATGGGACCCTAGGAAGCCTAAACCCTAACCCCTATACACCCTGAACCCTAAGAACCCTAAACCGTAACCCTAAACCCTAGGAACCCTAAACCCCACACCCAAAACTCTAAACCCTAAGCCCTAAGAACCCCAAACCCTAAACCCTGAGAACCCTAAACCCTGAACCCTTAGAACCCTAAACCCTAAGAACCCTAAGCCCTAAATCTGAAAAAAAATTAAGAACCCCAAGAACCGTAAGAACCCTAAGAACCTAAACCCTAAACCCTAAACTCCAAGAACCCTAAAGAACCCTAAGAACCTAAACCCTAAGAACCCTAATTAAACCTAAACCCTAAAGCCTAAGAAACCTAAGAACCTGAGCCCTTCAGCCTAAACCCTAAGAACCTAAACCCTAAACCCCTGAGAACCTAAACCCTAAGCCTTACACCCTAAACCCTAAACCCTACCCCCGAAACCCCAAACCCCAAACCCCAAACCCTAAACCCTAAACCCCAAACCCTAAACCCCAAACCCTAAACCCTAAACCCTGAACCCTCCGAGGCCTCGCGCCCCCTTGGGCCAAGGGGCTGTCCTGAAGCGTCAGTGTCGTCAGGCCAGGGTCGAGGAAGAAGGAGGCGCAGGCGCACTTGGAGCCAGACCCTGGTTTAGGGTTTAGGGTTTAGGGTTTAGGGTTTTGTGGGAGGGCTTGGGGTTTGGGGTTTGGGGTTTGGGGTTTAGGGTTTAGGGTTTAGGGGTTAGGGTTTAGGGTTTCGGGTTTAGGGTTGTGAGGCTTGGGAGTTTCCCAAAAAATGCAAACAAAAACATACTCTTCCTTTCTCAGGCAATATAGAGACGCTTATTCGGTAAGTGTTTGAGGGTTCTTGTCGTAGATTAGGGTCTATAAGGCCGATGGGTCTTAGGGTTGAGGGCTGCGGGGTCAGGAGCTAAGGGTCTGAACCCCAAAACCCTCCCCCAACCTAAACCCTAAACCCTAAACCCTAAACCCTAAACCCTAAACCCTAAACCCTAAACCCCAAAAGCCTAGACCCCAAAACCCCTCCCCCGACCCTGCCTGAGACTTCGGCCACCCGACAGCCCACTCCCTTGAGCGCGCCGTCGACGAAGCGCTGGACGCGCCGGCTCAGTTCCTGCTTTTTTTTTTTTTTTTGTTCTCTCTCTCTCTCTCTCAAATCTAAACCCTGAATCCTAAGAACCTAAACCCTAACATCCTAAACCCCAAACCTTATAAACCCTAGACCCTAAACCCTAAACTCTAACCCTAAACCCTAAACCCTGTTCCTTGAGGGGCAGGAGACTTTGGCTTAGAGGGTCTAGAGTTTATGCTGGGTTTGGGGTTGATGACTAAGGATGGGTTAGGGCTTCGGGTATCCTAGTAGCCGATGTCTTGTGTAGATCTTTGGTTTAGGGTTTAGGGTTTTGGGTTGGGGTTTGAGGGCTTAGGATATCCAGCTCAACTGGGTGCCAGGCACCTCCTATCTTGGGTTCGGCCTATAAGGTGTTCTAGCATCAAGCCTCAACCGCTACATGAACCCTGCTCAGGCAGGGTCAGGGCGGGGTTTGGGGTTTAGGGTTTAGGGTTTGGGTCTAGGATCCATGAACCTAAACCGCAAGTCCGAACCCCCAAACGCATTAACCCTACAGATGCACAATTGCCGATCATTTTGGGTGCTACACCCCAGACTTATCGGCCGCAGTGCCTGGTATCTTGGTCAAGCCCAAACCCTGAAGGACTTCATCCTAAACCCTATACACCCTAAACCCTTACAACCCCAAGCCTAGACGCAAAATCCCAAACCCTGCGCCCCAAACCCTAAACCCTAAACCCCAAACCCCAAAGCCTAAACCCCAAACCGTCCAAAGCCCAAAGCCCAAACCCTAAACACGTAAGCCCAAACCCTAAACCGGAAACCCCAAACCCTGACCCCCCAAGGCGCAGGCCCAAGCTTGAAACCCCGAAGCAATTGGTTTAGGCTTTAGGGTTTAGGGTTTAGGGTTTAGGGTTGAGGGTTTAGGGTTTCAAGGCTCCCAGAGAATGGGCCCAGCCTCGTGATACTGGCTCCATGCCGTCGCAAGAAGGACAGCCTGTTTGCCATGGATGTCAAGGCTACGGACTCTGGTGTTTGGGAGACTTAAAGTTTAAGGTTTCGGGTTTAGGGGGGTTAGAGCTTAGGGTGCTTCAGGGTGCTACAGGGTGGGGCCCCCTAGTTATAAGTAGAGTTATAAGGGCCCTAAATTGGGTTATAAGGTATAAGTCCCTTAACTACAGTTAGTATAGTAAGGGGGCCCCACCCTGTAGGAGAGACGTAGGTAGGTTCGGGTGTATAGGATTTTAGGCTTAGAAGGGCATCGTTCAGGAAAGGGGGGCTTCCCCTTGACCTCAAGCTGTGGGGGGGATCTTTTTGTCCCTTGACATTCACCCTAGAAACGCGACATGTAGCATAAGCCACCCTGAACCCTAAACCTCAGAAGCTTTAGGACTTTGGGTTTAGGGCTGAAACCTGTTCCCCCCCAAAAGAAAGCTACAAGAGGACCCCAAAAGGCCTGAATAGTGAAGACTCTTATGGGGCCACAAGACTTCGGGTTTATGTAACCCCAACTTATATCCTACTCGAAGGACTTAGGGGGCTTATAAGTACAACTCCTGTCCAAGGGTAGTTACATGGTCCCTCAGTATGGGTCCTTAAATGGGGACCCCGTATATACCCCATAATGAACCCAAGGACCCATACTTCAGAACCCTGTAATAAGAAGGTAACAGGACCACATGCAGGGACCATCTAGCTAGCCCAAACCCTAAACCCAAACCCCAAACCCTAAACCCTAAACCCTGAATCCTAACCTGGAGCCGCGTCCCTGGCCTCCTCGCCCTCAGCCTTGGGTGCGATCCTGTGTAGCCACTCCTGGGCTTCATTGAGGGGTTTGAGAGGGTTGGTAGGGCTTAGGGTTTAGGGTTTAGGGTTTAGGTAGCGGTTATAGGGTTTAGGTAGGGTTCGTAGGGTTTAGGGTTTATGGGGGTTTAAGGGGGTCATAGGGCTTATGGGGTCTGTATATACGGTTTGTAGGGTTTGTAAGGTTTGTAGGGTTAAGGGCTTCCAGAGTTTAGGGTCGCGACAAGGAGTTTTGGAGTTTAGGGCGGCTTGAGGAATTTGGGTCATGTTAGCCGGAACCCTAAACCCTAAACCCTAAAACCCTAAAACCCTAAAACCCTAAAACCCTAGAACCCGAAAAACCCTAAAACCCAAAAACCCTAAACCTAAAAAACAAACTAAATTTCTAAACCCTAAACCCTAAAACCCTAAAACCCTAAAACCCTAAACCCTAAACCCTTCTGATCCGCATCCCAGTGGCCGGGAGCTCCGGAAAGATCCGCTGATCTTCGGCAACCTCCATCTTTCGGGCTTTGGCTTTCTGTGGCCCTAAGGGTCCATGTACCTCATTATTTTATGTGGGTCCATGTACCTAAAACCCTAAACCCTAAACCCTAAACCCTAAACCCTAAACCCTAAATAGGGAATACTTAGGCCTTAAAGTACTTCCTTTTTTAGGGACTTTGGGGCCCAAGTATATAATAATAAGGTACATGGACCCTTAGGGTGGGTTTACTGTTAGGAGGGGGGGGGGGGGGGGGGGGTGGTCGGGCGTTAGGGGATTCAGGCCTTAGGGCTTTGGGGTTTAACCCTAAACCCTGAACCCTAAACCCTAAACCCTAAACCCTAAACTCTTCTCTTTTAGGGCTTAGGTTTTTGGGCTCATGCCGTAGAGTTTCAAGGTTTGGTGCTCCTGAAAGCTTGGTGTTTATGGTTTCAGTGGGGTTCGAACATGGGATTGGGGCTTTGGGGTGTTGAAGGGCTTCGGGCTTTACGATTTTTAGGTAGTAGCACCGTAGCGTTGGCGATTTTAGGGCTGAGGGCTTAAACCGTAAACCCTAAACCCTAAACCCTGAACCCTAAACCCTAAACCCTAAACCCTAAACCCTAAACCCTAAACCCTAAACCCTGAACCCTGAACCCTGAACCCCAAACCCGAGCGTAGAAGTGGATGATGTGGGAGGTGGGCTCCGCATGTCTGTTCCGGACCTTGCTTCTTTCCCTGCCCTGCAGGGTGGGGCCCCCTAGTTATAAGTAGAGTTATAAGGGCCCTAAATTGGGGTATAAGGACCCCAAGTTAGGTTATAAGTCCCTTAACTACGGTTAGTATAGTAAGGGGGCCCCACCCTGTGTGCCTCATCCTCTTAAACCGTCAACCCTAAACCCTAAACGCTTCTTCATCACCATCACCATGCTTGAATAGTATCTTCGATATTAGTAGATGTGAAAACATTGATTTTGTCAACCATTAAACTATGATTTGGTTAGAGTAGCACCAAACTAGACAAAAGATCATATTGTAGTATTGCGCGATTATATGTTCGATTACCATTCTTGTTCCCTGAAAATATGACTATTGCATTCGTGTATACTTCAATTTGTAGTCAAATATTGTTCTTTTATTCAAGTAGATACATACATATACATATTATTACGTCTTATGATAAGAATACTTTGTTCCCAGTGTACGATGCTACTGGTATTGTATGACTATGCACTTAGGACTCCACAGCGAAACCCGCCAGCTCATATGAGGGGCCTGCGGCTTCTTGGCTATGGGCATCAGCGTCACCTCATCCGCGTTGTTCGCGCCTGCACATTCATGTGTTTTAACTATAGGGTTTAGGGTCGGGGTTTTTAAGGGCTAAGGGTTGAAAAGCGTTCAAGCTTTGCGCCTGCTTGACCCCTGAAGCAACGCCCCAAACCCGAATCGCTCTCGAGTACCGAGCATGACATGCCTGCTTTGTAGCCGAAAACCAGACTAAGCCCCCAATAGCCTCCAGTAGGCATTGGATGTGGACGTCAGACGGTGCAGATGTATGCATATATATATATATATGTACATATATATATATATATACATAAACATGCATGCATGCCCGTGGCTTGTTCCTTGCAAAGCAACCGTCTGCAACAACAACTGTGCTATGTCCTGATGGCCACCTTCAGTTGCCACTGTGTGGGGAGTCGAGCCATCTGCACAAACAGCAGAGTCTGCTTTGGCATCCAGCAACAGGCGTGCGACGTTCAAGTGGCCGTTCTGAGCTGCCATGAACAAAGAGGTCTCACCGTTGCGCAGAGCTTTGTGAACGTCCGCATGGGACTCTAACAGCATCCGTGCCACGCCCAGGTGCCCCGCCTCGCATGCTGCAAGGAGCGGGCTCGTGCCATTCGGCAGCGTCTTGTCCACAGCAGACGCGGCCTCCAGCAAGAGCTGCACGACATTCGCATGGCCTCCAGACGCCGCCCTAAGAAGAGGTGTCCAACCAAGACCATCCGGCAAATCTATATCAGCACGGGCCACAAGCAGTAGGCGCGCTATGTCCAAGTGGCCGCCGTCGGTTGCTGCAAGCAGGGGAGTCGAGCCATCCGCACGGACCTTGGCCATGTCTGCTCTGACATCCAGTAGCAGACGTAGTACGTTCAGATGCCCATTCTGAGATGCCATGAAGAGAGAGGTCTCACCGTTGTGCAGAGGCCTGTCAATGTCAGCTCGGAACTCCAGCAGCAACTGCACCATTGCTAAGTGGCCACTCTCACATGCCGCAAGAAACGGCGTCGCGCCGTTGGGCAGCGGCTTGTCCACAGCCGAAGTAGCCTCTATACTCCCCTTAGAACTTTGATAAAAGAAGTATTTGTCATATCCCCTTGGGCTTTATGTAAACAAAAATTCTAAAAATAATTCCCAAAGGGGATGTAGGCCTCCAGCAGCAGCTGTGTGACGTCCCAGTGGCCGCCGGCCGCAGCCCTGACCAGAGGTGTCCACCCAATCATGTCGGCTGCATCCATGTCCGCCCGGGCCTCAAGCAGCAAGCGCGCAATGTCCAGGTGGCCCAGCTCCTTTGTAGCCCAGTAGCCATATTTTAATAAGGGCACCCTAAACCCTAAACCCTAAACCCTAAACCTAAACCCTAAACCCTAAACCCTAAACCCTAAACCCTAAACCAACCCATTTTGGGGTTGGTTACTTTATGAGGGAACCTTGAACCAACAAAAAGGGGAGAAGGGTACCACTGCGCTACCAGGGCTCAGTTGCCACAAGAAGAGGTGTCGAGCCATCCGCGCGGGCCGAGGCCGTGCATGCTCTGGCATTGAGCAGCCTTGGTTTAGGGTTTGGGGTTTAGGGTTTAGGGTTAGGGTTTAGGGTTTAGGGTTTACGGTTTAGGGCTACCACATCCTGAAAGTTTAACTTTTAAGTTCCTTATTGTAGTTCCTTCAACAACCCAAGAGGTTAAAGTCCTAAGAGCCAGCCAGAAGAAAGCCAAGCAGCAGGCTTGCGACTTTCAAGTGGCCATTCTGAGCTGCCATGAACAGAGGGGTCTCACCACTCAGAAGGGCATTGTTCACATCCTTCGTTGCTGAGTTCATAAGGCCTCAACAAGTGTAGACTTTCAGCTCTATAGGGGATTATAGCACCTCAAAAGGTGTAAAGTGTACCTATTCAGCTACTAAGTATCCGCGTGGGACTCCAGTAGCATCCGAGCCAGGTCCCGGTGACCCATCTCACATGCTGCCAGGAGCGGGCTGGTGCCATTCGGCAGCGTCTTGTCCACAGCGGACGCGGCCTCCAGCAATAGCCGTGCCACATCTAGGTGTCCTTCCTCAGCTGCTGCTTATAACTTGGGAGGTTCCCCCTTATACTAACAAAGGGTTTCGGGTGTAGGGTTTAGGGTTCTTATACTAACAGTCCTTCAGAGGGATTCTAGTCCCCCCCCTATGATAATCCCTATTAAGGACTTCAGTATGAGGGGGAACATCGCAACTTAGAATGGTTGTGTTTTAGAGTAACCTGGCCAAGAACGGTTCCTATTGGTTCATAAGCCAACCAAAACAGAGCAGCCCTAAACCCCAACACCCCAACACCCAACACCCCAACATCCTAAAGGCACAAAATCCCAAACCCCCAAAACCCCCCAACAAAAAGCCCAAAACCGTCCCCTGAACCCTAAACCCTAAACCATAAACCGTATGCAACCTGAACCTTATAAAGCCCAAACATTAAACCCTAAACCCCAAAACCCTCAACCCTAAACCCTGAACCCCAAACCCTGAACCCTAAACCCTAAACCCTAAACCCTCAACCCCAACTCTCAAAGCGTCGACCGACGCCCGGAGCAAAGGCGTCCAACCCCAGGCCGCGGTCAAGTTGGGATCCTGAGGCCTGAATGACTAGACCCGAGGTTTAGGGTTTAGGGTTTTTTAGGGTTTAGGGTTTAGGGTTTAGGGTTTAGGGTTTAGGGTTTAGGGTTTAGGGTTTAGGGTTTAGGGTTTAGGGTTTGGGTTTGGGGTTTAGGGTTTAGGGTTAGCTGGGATGTTCCCCTCTTACACTAACAGTCCTGAATAGGCTTTAATAGGGATTGTAGTAAGGGGTACTCTCCTCCCTCAAAAGGACTGGCAATAAACCCTAAACCCTAAACCCTAGACCCTAAACCCTAAACCCTAAACCCTAAACCCTAAACCCAAAACCTGTAAAAAAAGGGAATGAGGGCCTACTCTAGGTCCTCGATAAAATGCGCTCCACGTCCCTGGCTCGGTTCTGCCACACCTTGGAAGCAAGAGCTTGCTAGGGGTTTAGGGTTTAGGGTTTAGGGTTTAGGGTTTAGGGTTTAGGGTTTGGGGTTTGGGGTTTGGGGTTTAGGGTTTAGGGTATAGTGTACTGTTGTTATAAACCTTCTTTGGTGTAGCTATGGCCCGTGCAAGGGCGTACTAGGTCCCAGAGTGACCTAGGAGGGGAAAAAAGGGGCAGACTTATATCTTCATAGGAGTCTAAGGCTTAGGCGTTAGGGTTTTTTATCGGGTTTACTGGGTTTAGGGTTCCTGAACCCTGAACCCTAAACCCTAAACCCTACTCTTCTACAGAAAGAAGATCTCTTCTGGGTCGTGGTTTTCGGGCCATAGACTTGAGGATGATCGGTGGCCCTCTACACCCTAAACCCTATATAGGGTGGCCCTAAACACTAAACCCCCAAAGCCCTGTAGCATTGGTTCCCAAACGTGTTTGAGGCGTTCACTTTCGTTTCTAATGCCAAGTCGCAGCATCCACGAGCTCGTCTGCTTGTGCCTCAGAGGCATCGCAGAAGCCGTTCAAGACTACCTCGGTTAGCTGTGGTGTAAGTATCAGGGTTTAGAGTTTAGGTTGGTTGTGGTTTAGGGTTTAGGATTTAGGGCTTAGGGCTTAGGGTTTAGGGTTTGTGGTGTAGGCTGGTTGTGGTTTCAGGTTTAGGCTTCAGGGAACATGTGCATGTGTGTGTTCTATACTTTTGGACTAATCAAGCATCAGCCAACACGAGCACCCCCGAAGCAAAGCAAAGCAAAACGGCGTGTGAGGAGACCCCTAAACCCAAAACCTAAACACTCAACCCCAAACCCTAAACCCTAAACCCTAAACCCTACACCATACCCCTAAACCCTGAACCCTAAACCCCAAGCCCCAAACCCCAAACCCTAAACCCTGGACCAGCTGCCAGTTGCAGCTCGGCCGGCCCATCCAGCAAGGCATCGTCGTCCAAAGCTCGGCCATTTTCGAGCAGGAGCCGCTGTCTGAATCGAGGCTGCCCGCACCTATACGGTTTAGGGTTTAGGGTTTAGGGTTTAGGGTTTAGGGTCTAGGGTCTAGGGTTTAGGGTTTAGGGTTTAGGGTTTAGGGTTTAGGGTTTAATATCCTCTTGGGTTCTATATGAACAAAAATAAACAAATACTTCCCAAGGGGGATATAGGCACACTCTCTGCAGCAGCTGCATCAGCACCCTTACCTAGGATGGCCCGTGCAACCCTCTTCAAAACACACAGAACAAGCTACGTGTCTTCCTGTTCAGCCCAAAAAAGGGAAAATATGCAAAAGGTCCAAACCCTAAACCCTAAACCCTAAACCCCAAACCCTAAACCCTAAACCCTAAACCCCAAATCAGGGCGTGCCGAGCTACGGGCCGCGCAGCCGCGCCGGGCAGCTCCATGAACTCCTCCATGGGCATCGCGAGCGCCTCATCACCTGACGCCCTCCGCACGCGGAGCATCTTCCCGCCAAGGCTCAGGAGCGAAGATTCTCTCCCAAGGGAGAACTAAGCCTAAATAAGGCTATCTAAAAAGGGGAACCTAAACCCTAAACCCTAAACCCTAAATCCTAAACCCTAAACCCTAAACCCTAAACCCTAAACCCTGAAGGTAGTATAGAGGGGGGTAGTAGGGGGAACCCATGAAGATGCTGAACCGGTCCTTGAGCCCTCATTCTGGCAGCCCGAGTCCCCAAGTATTTAGTAGGGTTTAGGGTTTAGGGTTTAGGGTTTAGGGTTTAGGGTTTAGGGTTTAGGGTTTAGGGCTTAGCATTTAGCCCCTAGACTTCCGAACGCTATCAGCCCCACACATCCTCAAAACCCAAAGTTACAGGCAGCAGCACATGTCTACAAACTTACTGTTGGTTTAGGGTTTAGGGCTTGGGGTTTAGGGTTTAGGGCTATATAATCCCTTAGAGGGTATTTTTAGGGGACCTCATTCCCTACTAACCAACAGTCTACAAAGTCTTGGCTGACTTCCGAACCCCTCCTAAAAGCTTAACGTTTAGGCTCGTCATTGTAGTTTCTACAAAAACCCAAAAGGTTGAAGTCCTAAGAGCCGGCCAGAAGAAAGCCAAAGAAGTTGCAGGAAAGTTCTAAACATTAAAAGCAGGGCTTGGGCTGTGTGGGGTTTGTAAGCTGTGGGTTTGGGATTTAGGGCTAAACCCTAAACCCTAAACCCCAAAACCCTTAACCAACAGACTGGAAGCCGAGCAGCTAGCGGCTAGTGTCTCGGGGGGCTTGGCTTAAGGGACTTTCGGGTTTAGGTTTATTTAGGGTCTAGGGTTTAAGGGTTAAGGGTTTAGGGTTTAGGGTTTAGGGTCTAGGGTTTAGGGTTTAGGGTTTAGGGTTTGAGGTCTTGGTTGAGGGTTTTCAAAATTATATAGGGTTCAGTGGATGCATTGGAGATTCGCGGTATTCTGGGGGAAGTTTCGACTAGAGGTCTTGGGTTCTGGGAAGGTGGCACTTTCTTGCAGGGCTTTGATGATTTTTGGAAGTTTTGGGTTCTGAGGGTTTTGGGCTTGTGGGGGTTCGCGTGTTTTGTTGTTAATTAATGGGTTTCAGGTTGGGATGCGTCCTGTTTCCCCCTTATACCAACAGTCCGAAATAGGGATTCTGGTACCCCCTATCTTGGTTTGCAAGGTTGGGAAAAAGATGAGGGGCCGTGCAAGGTAGAACCCTTGACACCCCCAGCCCCCCCCACCTCTCTCCCTAACAAACTGCCAAACCGGCCCTAAACCCTAAACCCTAAACCCTGAACCCTGAACCCTGAACCCTAAACCCTGAACCCTGAACCCTGAACCCTGAACCCTAAACCCTAAACCCTAAACCCTAAACCCTATGCAACAATCAAAGCAAAGAGCCCTGCCTAGGGGCTCCAGGGCAGACTTCATATGGCAGCAGTGGCAGCTGCAAACGCTGGGGCGACTTTGGCCCATGGTTCCGGATCGAAGCTCTAGCCCTAAACCCTAAACCCGAAACCCTAAACCCGAACAAACAAACAGCAACACGCGGCCCTAAAGCCCCAAGGCTCTGACCAATGCCCCTAAACCGATAGTGAACTTTGACAGCGTCCGGGGTGTTTTAGGGTGCTGGGTGGTGTCCAGGGCTTTGGGATGCGGGGTTTAGGGTTTAGGGTTCAGGGTTGAGGGTTGAGGGTTGAGGGTTTAGGGTTTAGGGTTTAGGGTCATGGGACATACCTTGAAAGCACGTAGCGCCTTATGTTTTCCAGGCGACGGATTCATCCCAACTGAAGACAGAGAGGTCTTGGGCTCGTAATGATAGTCCCTTGAGCTTGATGAAGCCCTTAAATTAACCCTGTGTGATTTTCCGCATTCCAGCCTTTAGAACCTCTACGGCTTCGAGCCTTTGTGGTAAGAGTTGGTCGGATGGACCTGCTGCAATGCAGAACATCGCTGCGCAGTGTGGGCGGCTGAGGATTCGGGGTTTAAGCTTTGGGTTTAGGGTTTAGGGTTTAGGGTTTGGGGTTTGGGGTTTAGGGTTTTAGGGTTTAGGGTTGAACATTTAGGGTCTAGGGTTGGGGGGGGGGGTTGGGATGTGAGGTTCAGGGTCGACACTAACACAGTGGGGCTTGGAGTTTGGGGCGGGCTGCCGGTACTTGGTACAAGCCACCCTCGCACTTGCTGTTGGTTCGTAGGGAACGAGAGAATGAGGTTTAGGGTCTAGGGTCTAGGAATTAGGGTGTATAGGGTGTAGGGTTTAGGGTTTAGGGAAAGAGGTACCCCATATCCCCTTATATATACCCGTTCAGGGATTATTTAGGGTACCTCATTCCCTCCTTCCCCGCTAGCCAACAGCAAGCTAATGCTTCCGTCCCAACTACTAAACCCCGTACACCGGAACCAGTACCCTAAGTAGGGGATCCGAAGTATCGTGTTCTATATGCCCTAAACCCTAAACCCTAAACCCTAAACCCTAAACCCTAAACCCTAAACCCTAAACCCTATATGCCCTATATACACTATACATAATAAGGGCCGCCGATACTTCGGATCCCTTTCATGCTAAGGGCCCACGGTTGCAACCTTGGACTCAAGAGCCCTGAACCCTAAACCCTAAACCCTAAACCCTAAACCCTAAACCCTAAACCCTAAACCCTAAACCCTAAACCCTAAACCCTAAACCCTAAACCCTAAACCCCCCCTGTTGTGCGACCCGTAAGATTGTTGGGACGTGGAACCTTAGGCTAAGGCTTATAGAGCCTAAGAACCCTAAACCCGAAACCCTAATCCCTAAACCCTAAACCCTAAAAGTTTGGGGTTTGGGGGTTTTCAGGGGGAGTCGCGTTCCAGCTCGGGGTTTCCGACTCTTTCTCAGTTGGCGGCTGTTCAGTTCCTACGTGCTGCACCGTTGTGCCCAAGCATTTGAGGGTTTGGAGTTTAGGGTTCAGGGTGTAGAGTTCAGGGTTTAGGGTTAGGCAAGGAAAGGCGAAAATAAGCCATTGTCTCCGGTAAATGGAAGTATTTCGGGGCTTCGGGTCGCCCTAAACCCTAAACCCTAAACCCTAAACCCTAAACCCTAAACCCTAAACCCTAAGCCCGAGAGCCCAACGTCTCACTCTATGCCGGGATGGACCCCGGTGCTGTCGCCACCATTCCCCTGCCATGCACCACGTGGCGTGTGCGAGCCCTAAGTCCAAAACCTAAACCCTGAACCCTAAACCCTAGAACCCCAGAACCCTAAAACCTGGGGTCAGAGAAACCCAGGGTTGAAGATTGAGGGATAAAGGTCGAGGGCTTCGGGCTTCGGGCTTCAGAGCTGTAGTTTTTTGAGCCCGAAACCCTCAACCCTGAACCCGAAACCCTATAGGCCCTAAACCCCAAACCCAAACCGCTAAACCCTAAACCCTGTACCAGTTTAGGGCTTACAGGTCTCAAAGAAACCCCATGTGAAGGAGACAGTTGCTACGGGGCCCGGACCCTCCAAACCCTCCTACCCTAAACCCGAAATCCTAAACCCTAACCCTACACCCTACACCCTAAACCCTAAACCCTAAACCCTAAACCCTAAACCCCAAACCCGTGTCAACCCAGGGTTCCTACAGGGTTTCGTGGTCGTGTAGCGACGTCACATTATCTGAAGGTACCGGGTTTAGGGTTTAGGGTTGAGGGTTTAGGGTTTAGGGTTGAGGGTGTAGTGTTTAGGGAGTATCTTCGGGTAGCTACATGGTCCCTTAGAATGGGCCCTTCAACGAGGACCCCTTATATGCCCCTTATATACCCTATACAACCCACAGGCCCAGATAAAAGAACCTTTAAAGAAGGTCACGGACCAAATTCAGGGCCCATGCAATTCCCTTAGAGTTTCGGATAGGGTGTGACACCTAAGCCCCAGGTCACGGACCACATTCAGGGACCATGCCATTCCCCTAGAGTTTCGGATAGGGTGTGAAGCCTAAGCTCCAGTAACAGCCAGACAACCAGTGCTTCGCAGGGTTTGGGGAGGTAAGGGTTTAGGGCTTAGACCTCTTTCAAGTCTTTTCGCTACATGCCACGGAGATGATTCGTGCGCATGAATGCCGTGTGAAGAAGCGCTTTCACTGCTTCCCCGGTTGTTCTACACCAGAACCCTGAACCCTAAACCCGAAACCCCAACTCCTATACAGCCAAAAGCCTCAAACCCACCAACGAGTAGCAACGCCTAATCCCTACATGCTACACCCTAAACCCTAAACCCTAAACCCTGATCCCTGAACCCTGAAACCAAAACCCAGCAAACGGCGGCCTCGTAGCCCCACGTCACGAGGCGCCCGTCGCTGCACAGCGCGGCAAAGGCACTGTCGGAGCCCACGACCTGAGAGTTTATGTTTGGGGTTTCGGGTTTCGGGTTTGGGGTTTACGGCTTGGGGCTTAGGGGTTTAGGGGTTTAGGGGTTTAGGGGTTTAGGGGTTTAGGGGTTTAGGGGTTAGGGTTTAGGGTTTAGGCTTTAGGGTTTAGGGTTAGGGGTTTAGGGTTTACGGTTAGGGTTTAGGGGTTTAGGGTTTAGGGGTTTACGGGTTTAGGGCCGCAGCCTGCGCAACTCCTTGCAGCTGCTCCCGCACGCCGCTGCCTCGGAGGAGTTTCAAAACCCAGACTTGAAACAAGCTGCTATGGGTTTAGGGTTTAGGGTTTAGGGCTTAGGGCTTAGGGTTTAGGGTTTAGGGTTTCGGGTTTCGGGTTTGGGGTTTAGGGTTTAGGGTTTGGGGTTTGGGGTTTGGGGTTTGGGGTTTGGGGTTAGGGTTTAAGGTTTTGGGGTTTAGGCTTAGGGTTTTCCTCTTTCATACAGTAAGGAATTAATGGTACTGAGGTTCGGATTAGAATCTCTGGAACCGCCCTTAGTTGTCGAGGGGTGGCAAAGGGCTGTTTTTGAGAAGTTCCGGGAACCTCCTGGGCGCAATGAATGACTTGGGGAACTGCCACTCATTGACAGTCGAGTATTAAAAAATAATACGGGCACTTTTTTTTGTGGGTTGGTTACTTTCTAAGGGAACCTTGAACCAAAAAAAGGGAAAGGGTACCACTGGGCCACCAAGTTACTCAGAACCCTGCAAACCCTAAATGCTCTAAAACCCCTCAGAGCCCGAAACCCTAAGAACTCTTACAGCCCTACACACCCTAAACGTCCTCATCATCTCTCAGAACCCTAGAAACCCTGAACAGCCCTAACATTCCACAAGCCCACCCTAAACCCTAAACCCGAAACCCTAAACCCTAAACCCTAAACCCTAAACCCTAAACCCTAAACCCTAAACCCAGCAAACCCAAAAACCAAGCTAAACACTCCGAAGGCCCCCAAAACCTCTTACCGCCCTGTCCCCAAGCAATGGCGGTAGGGCGGCTGTCGCCGCCCCCTTCCTTGTAGCCCCACGTCACCACCTGAGAGGGTTTCGGGTGTAGGATTTACGGTTTAGAGTTTAGGGTTAGGGTTTAGGGTTTAGGGTTTAGGGTTTAGGGTTTAGGGTTTAGGGTTTAGGGTTTAGGGTTTAGGGTTTAGGGTTTACGGTTTAGGGTTTAGGGTTTAGGGTTTAGGGTTTAGGGATTAGGGTTTAGGGTTTAGGGTTTAGGGTTTAGGGTTTCGGCTGTAGGATTTACGGTTTGGGGTTGACTTCAAGCGGCTTGTGTTTTGCGCATGGAGTTCAGCGGATTGGGTCCGGTTGAGGATTTAGGGCTTCATGACTTTAGCGTCCACGGATGGTTGCCCCCATCCTTATTCGTACCCACCGGCGGCGTACTCAACAAGGGGGACACCTTGAACCCGACATCCTAAACCTAAACCCTAATTAAACCCTAAACCCTAGACCCTCAGGCAGCAGGTAAGCGACGCAGGAGCGGAGGGGTGTTGGGGGTGCGCGGGCCTAAGGTCAGCAACAGTTCATCCATATGAGTATGTGAGCAAACGCACGGCCGCGCTTAAACCCCAACAAGCAAGAAGCCCCAAAACCCAAAACCCAAAACCCAAAACCCCTAAACCCCTAAACCCCTAAACCCCTAAACCCCTAAACCCCTAAACCCCTAAACCCCTAAACCCCTAAACCCTAAACTTGCCCTAAACCCTAAACCCTAAACCCTAAACCCTAAACCCTAAACCCTAAGTCGCAAAAGAAGCCCCCAAAACCCTGGAACCCTAAACCCTAGTAACCCTAAACCCTAAACCCTAAACCCTGGAACCCTAAACCCTAAAAACCCTGAGCCCCAAAACCTGTCTTCGAGGCGCAGTCCCGTCCCTGCGGATGGCGGAGAAGGCTCCGTAAGTGGAGGCCAAGGCTGCCACCTGCGTCAAGCCTTGCAAGGGTTTAGGGTTTAGGGTTTGGGGTTTAGGAATGGTTTAGGGGTTAGGATTGAGGGTTTAGGGTTCAGGGTTTCAGGTTTAGGATTTGGAGGGCAGGGGGGCTGGGGATAGAGGTTCGGGTGTAGGGTTCAGAGTTTAGAGTTTGGGGGTTTTGAGGGTTTGGGGTGCAGGCACGCTGGAATAATGGCACGGTGCAGAAGTCATCTGCGCTCAAGCTTCTGGCAAGCGAACCTATTCCTTCTGGATGGCTTCATCGTCTTTAATAGTTGTGTCTGAGACACTCTCAGACACAAACAGCTGGTAATTGCTCCCTGCTCTGAACATTTTCGCAAGGGCTCTTTTGTTCTCTGCCTCAACTCGCTAAAGTTTCCTGTGGCAGGTGTGCGAACTTAACCAACAAGTTTTCTAGCAACTTCATGTCAGAAGATTTACCCTTGATAGCAGCCTCGAAATCACGCACTTCGTAATCTTCCAGGAACTCGCGAAAGAGATTTGCCCCATCTCGAATGAAATGGCCGTCCTCCACGCCACAAGAGAAGAAGTGCGTGTCCTTCTCATCTGAAAAGAGGACCTTGTACGCCTTACCATCTTCAAGGATGCCGTCGATCATGAAGGAGCACACGTGTGCGAACATGAAATGATGCCAATTATCCGCCGGCTGCTTCAAACGACTCACCAGCTCCTTAACTTTGGGCAAGTTCACCCACTTCTTGGCCTCATGCCTGAGAAGTACGTAGCCGCGCGTGAGACTTTCAGGGCTCATCGTTCCATCCGAGAGCTGCTGGCACATCCACAGGGCCTCCTTTTCGGGATCCTTCGGCGCCGAAGGCGCCGGTTCCCCGGCCTTGCTTGTGGCCTTGGCCTTGGCCTTGGCTTTGGCTTTGGGCTTGGCTTTGGCTTTGGGCTTGGCTTTGGCCGTGGCTTTGGCCTTGGCTTTGGCCTTGGCCTTGGCCTTCGCTGTCCGCGAACTGCCAACACTGTCAACCCTCATGGCCTTCATCGCCGTGCCCTTCATGACCTTTCCTGAGTTCCCCCTTAAGACGACACTGGATGAACTAGGCTTCTTCATGGCCCGCAGCAGAACTTGGTGTAAGAATAGGCACACTAAATTGACATGAAGCTATGCGAGAACAGGAACGTGCGTGAGCAACAACCCTTATATTCCTAATATCTCTGCTTCTCCAATCTTAGTTTTATGGGATGCCAACTATTGTTTCCTAGTCTTGTGCCCCATTACAAGAATTATGCTGGCGAATGAAAATAGACACTACAATTCCAGGAACATAGATGAGACTTCATGCGTCTTACTTTTTACCTTCGCTGCTAATGGCAAATCTTGCTGCTTGTTTGAGCCAAAGCCATCAACAACAGCTGGTGCTAGTTACCAGCTACCATAGATAGACTCACAACCACTTTTGCGAATCCTCTGCTCAAGCCGATGCTCCTTTGTAGCGTGCGGACTCTAAACCCTAAACCCCGTTCGCAACGCCGAGTTTACACCAGACGTCTGGCGGGGGCGAGCAGCTCGGTTTTTAAAAGAGGAGGGGAGGTATGAGGACGACAAAGTCCCTAAACCCTAAACCCGAAACCCTAAACCCTGAATACTAACTAAACCCTAAACCCTAAACCCTACCCCGGCCTTCGCGAACGCTGCTGCTGTCCCCACCCATACCTGGAGCTCTTCAGTCAGTTTTGCCTCTCGGGCTTTTAGGGCTTAGGGACCCTCAGCCCCAAACCCTAAAAACCCTGGAAAAGGTATAAGGAGGGTTATTATAGTATTGTTACAAAGGGACCATAAGAGATCTTTTTTCGTAATTTTCCCGACCCTATATTCCTCACGGGAGTCGTACTAGCACCCCAAAGGATGTGCCCCTAACAAGTACCCCGAATACACTCCCAATATGGCCCTAAACCCTAAACCCTAAACCTTAAACCCTAAACCCTAAACCCTCATATTCCCATAGAGGATCTTTAAAACGGGTCCCCAAACCCAAGGGGGCAACCTTGGGGGTCCAAGGTAGATTCCCATGAAATACAGGATGTAGGAGTAGGGTTTAGGGTTTAGGGTTTAGGGTTAAGGGTTAAGGGTTAAGGGTTTAGGGTTTAGGGTTTAGGGTTTAGGGTTTAGGGTTTAGGGTTAGGGGGTCTAGGTGGTTTTGTTAATACGCAAAAAAAACTCAGAACCCCAGAGCGAAAAAAAACAAGTGCCCCGAAAGTTCTAAACCCCTAAAGCCCAATTAACCCCAAAACGAATGCCAAGACCACTAGGCCCTAAAACTGATAAAACTGAAACCCAAACCCCTACACCCCAACATAAACACAAAACCAAAACCCAAAACTCCAAGCCCTAAACCTAAACCCACCCTTAACCCCCAAACCCTAAACCTAAATTCAAGGGCGAGATACTTTTGTCACCCCAGGTCACAACGGTGCCATCTCCAAGCAAAGCCGCGAAAGCTCCGGTAGTTGCCTGTGGGTTTAGGGTTTAGGGTTTACAGGGTTTATAGGGTTTATGGGGTTTATAGGGTTTAGGGTTTATAGGGTTTCGGGTTTAGGGTTTAGGGCGTAGGGTTTAGGGTTCAGGGTTTGGGGTTTGGGGTCGGGGGCTTCCTTCCTTCCTTCCCTCCCTCCTTCCTTTGAGAAGCTTAACGCTAACAACCCCTAGAAACCCCTAAAGCCCTCAAGCCCTAAAGCCCCAGAACCCTAAAACCCTAAAACCCTGAAACCCTAAACCTTAAACCGTAGCCCTAAACCCTAAACCAAAACCCGAAACGGTAAACCCTGAAACCCTAAACCCCCTCTTCTGTGGATGTTGCCTGCAGCGCCTGGACGTCCTGTAGCTGATCCTCAGGGTTTAGGGTGTTTAGGGTATTTAGGGTATTTAGGGCTTATAGGGTTTATTTAGGGTATTTAGGGTACTTAGGGTATTTAGGGTATTTAGGGTATTTAGGGTATGTAGGGTATTTAGGGTTTATAGGGTATATGGTATAGGGGATGGGGTTTAGGGTTACTTGGGTTAAGGGTTCAGGGTTTCGCGCCGGGATGTAGCGATTGCAGGGGCATTCTTAGAGTAGACTCTCTGAGCCAAGGTCCTTTGCCAGTCCTGAGAAGTGGATGACAAGCAAGGATCCAACAATTGGGGGTGTTAAGGGGTGAAGGTTCAGGGTTCAGGGTTCAGGGTTCAGGGTTTAGGGTTTTAGGGTCTATGGGTTGAAGGCTCAGGTCTCAGGGCTTTGTGAGTTCCTAGCTTTCCCATTTTGCATCTGATGGGCGTGTATAGGTTCAGGATCCTGGGCCTAGAATGCGTGGGATTCCCAACTCCTTAACTCCTTCCCCAAGCCCTATGGATTAGGGTTTAGGGTTTAGGGTTTAGGGTTTAGGGTTTAGGGTTTAGGGTTTAGGGGTTAGGGTTCAGGGTTTAGGGGGTTTGGGTTTTGGGGTTCAACTCCTTCACTCCTTCCCCAAACCCTATGGAACCCAGACCCTTCAACCCTCGCCACCCCGGCTTAGGGCTTAGGGCTTTGGGCTTAGGGCATAGCGCTTAGGGCTTCGGGCTTAGGGCCTAGGGCTTAGGGTTTAGGTTTAGGGTTTAGGGATAGAGGGTTTCGGGAGAGAGGGTTTCGGGCTTTTGCTGTTCCAGGAAAGTCCTGAACATGGCTGCCGTCGCCTTTCGGCTGACCCCATGTCACCACCCGGCCGTCCGCACGCAAGGCCGCAAAAGTCCCGGAAGTGCCACAAACCTAAAGGAAAGGGAAGGCTTGGTGTAGGGCTTAGGGTTTAGAGTTTAGGTTTAGGGTTTAGGGTTTAGGGTTTAGGGTTTAGGGTTTAGGGTTTAGGGTTTAGGGTTTAGGGTGTAGGGTTTAGGGTTCAGGGCTTTAGGGCTTTAGGGCTTTAGGGTTTTCAGCTTCTCGGTCTGTTGGGCTTCGGGTTTCTGGGGCTTCGAGCTCATGGGGGGTGTTTCGGAGTTTGGGAGTCCCTAAACCCTAAACCCTAAACCCTAAACCCTAAACCCTAAACCCTAAACCCTAAACCCTAAACCCTAAACCCTAAACCCTAAACCCTGAACCTCTCCTACCATATAATTATAAACCTTGATGGTATTCGCGGGCAAGGCCCAAAGATTCGTGGGCAAGGCCCAAAAAACTCGTGGGCAAGGCCCAAAAAACTCGTGGGCAAGGCCCAAGTGTGGATTTTGGGCCTTTGGATGCCCACGAATTTTTGGGCCTTTTGTTTCGTGGGCAAGGCCCAAAAATTCGTGGGCAAGGCCTTCGTGGGCAAGGCCCAAAAACTCGTGGGAAAGGCCCAAGAATTTGTGGGCAAGGCCCAAAATTTCCCTTGAGACCCTAAACCGTTGAGCCCCTAAATCTTTGAGACCCTAAACCCTTGAGACCCTAAACCCACCCTAAACCCACATTTCGGCGTTTAGGGTTTCAGGGCCTCATTTCCTGGTGTTTACGGTTTCAGGGCCTCAAGGCCTGGTGTTTAGGGATTCAGGGCCTCAGGGCCCGGTGTTTAGGGTTTCAGGGCCTCCAGGCCTGGCGTTTAAGGTTGCAGGGCCTCAAGGCCTGGTGTTTAGGGTTTCAGGGCCTCAAGGCCTGGTGTTTAGGGTTTCAGGGATTCAAGAGCTGGTGTTTAAGGGTCAAGGCCTGGTGTTTAGGGTTTCAGGGCTTCAAGGCCTGGTGTTTAGGGTTTCAGGGCCTCAAGGTCTTGCGTTTAGGGTTTCAGGATGGTGTTTAGTCTTTCAGGACCTCAAGGCCTGGTGTTTAGGCTTTCAGGTTTGAAGGCCTCGTGTTTAGGCTTTCAGGGCCCCAGGTGTTTAGGGTTTCAAGGCCCTCAAGGCCTGGTGTTTAGGGTTTCAGGCCCTCAAGGCCTGGTGTTTGAGCCATCCTAAAACTAAAAAGAAATTTTGTAGTTCCCAGTTGGAACTCTGGGTGGGTGGGTATTTTTCGATGTTCCAAACGACGAGCCTAAACGAGAAATTGCTCGACCAGGAGCTCTTGAACCCTAAACCCTAAACCCTATACCCTATACCCTAAACCCTAAACCCTGAACCCTATAAACCCCAAACCCTAAACCCTAAACCCTAAATCCTGGCCTCCTGCACGTCCCGCAGCTCATCCTGGATCGCAGAAGAGTCCCCTCCGAAGCGGCGGTCGCCCCAGGTGACCACCGAGCCATCTGCACCTAGGCCCCTAAACCCTAAACCCTAAACCCTAAACCCCAACAGACCCAAGAGAGACCTAGGAATAAAAAAGGGCGCCCTTTGTGGTTTAAAGGCTTTTCAGGGAACCTAAACCCTAAACCAAAAGGGGATAAGGGCCTACGGTGGAACTTTGTGTTAAGAAAGTTTTTGAAGCAAGAAATAAGACTCTCGATTTGGAAAAAAAAGTAAATTGAGGGTCTAGATGGCCTCCCAAACGTGCTTGCGAACCACGAAAGACAAAAAAAACGGTTTAGGGTTTAGGGTTTAGGGTTTAGGGTTTAGAGTTTAGGGTTTAAAGTCCAGCCCCTCCAGCCCCTCCAGGCCCCTCCAGCCCCTCCGCCCAGCCTTCCGGCCCTTCCAGCCCCTCCAGCCCTTCTTAGTTGTCCAGTAACCTGGGGGAATTACAGGTGAACCTTTGGGACTATAAGGGGATTACACTGCCCCAAAAAGGTTAAAGGTTACCTACTCTACTACTAGGCCTTGCAGCCCCTCAAGGCCCTTAAAGCCCCTGAAGGGCTTCAAGGGCTTGGAGGGCTGCACAGCTGGAGGGCTTGGAGGGCTGGAGGGGTTTAGAGTTTAGGGTTTAGGGTTTAGGGTTTAGGGTTTAGGGTTTAGGGTTTAGGGTTTAGGGTTTAGGGTTTAGGGTTTAGGGTTGAATAAGAAATGTTTTCAAGACTCTCACCTCAAATCTACCTTTCTGAACAACTCTGCCCAGTTAAGGAATGTCCGAGACTCTGGTGGGCCTTTGAACCTTTCTTATCATAAGTTTTGGCCCTAAACCCTAGACCCTAAACCCTAAACCCTAAACCCTAAACCATACTCTGGGTCCTAGGCACGTATGCCGGCAAAAGCCATCTGGGTGGCTCGAATCTTTGCCACCTTGGCTGTTCCCGGATTCTGTTAAAGACCTTGAGATACCAAGGGTTTAGGGTTGTGGGTTTACGGTTTAGGGTTTAGGATTTAGGGTGGCTCCTGTTACAGAATCCGAGATACCAAACAGAGAAAAATGGCGGTTTCCGAAATTAGGGGTGCCTTTGGGGGTCCTTGTAATAGGGATTCCTACGCTTTTGAGGTCTGTATTAGGGGCCCCCTACATTGCACTACTTGCTATGAATCCGTAGGATGGTCACTAAACCCTGAACCCTAAACCCTGAACTTATAAACCCTAAACCCTAAACCCCAAAACCCTAAACCCTAAACCCACTGAGTCACAGGCAGGCCACCCCGCGCACCTCAGCCGGCATGGGCGCCTTTCCCGAGGGTCCCCAGGAAACCACAGAGCCATCCGACAGGAGGGCTGCAAACCTTGCTTGGAGGTCTGGGGTGAAGGGTTTAGGTTCAGGGTTTGGGGTTTAGGGTTTAGGGTGAGTTTGCTGCAAACCTTGCATGGCCGAATGTAGTGTATAGGGGGGTTTAGGGGTTTGTAGGGCTTAGGGATTTAGGGTTTAGGGTTTAGGGTTCAGAGGTCTATAGGTCCATATGGGGGGTTTACCAAGGAGCCAGGATTCGCTGACTTCGATCCGCACCACGTCCTTTAGCCGAGCGCGGACACAGGCGCAGTCGCCGCCTTTAAAGTCTGCGGCTTAGGGTTTAGGGTTTAGAGTTTAAGGCTTATCCAAAGAGCCCAATGCCCCCCCCAAAATAAGAAGTCTTCCTGAAATCATCTTGA